TTGCAAAAGTCTACTAAGAAATATTTTCAATACATCAAATTTATGCTTTATGTGAGAGAGAAAGTCAAAAATAAATTAAATGAGATAAGACGAATAAGTGAATGACAGAGAATAAAAAATAAACGAGTAGAGTGAGACACAGATTCCTCTGTTTCTATGTGAAGGTCATACAGATTCATAGCTGCTTTGTGTAATCTGTTCTGTCCATGCAGTATTTTCATATGTAATACACAGTAATCCAAGTCAAATTTCAGTATTTTATGACACGATGGCATAAAATCATGGGATACCAAACACCAGTATTTAATTAATGTGGGAATCTAGTCCTGCTATATCATTAGTTTGAGCTTTGTTGCTCTTCTGTTGCTCTCCTCAACTACTCTTGGTGCTGACAACATTTTTGAGCAGTTTAATTAAGTCTGGTGGGTTTCTGTCTGCAGGACTGAATTATATACGCTGGTTTCCAGACCTGCATCATCAGTTTTGATGGCTGTTAATTGCCAAAGGTTTAACTGGAAGTTCTTCTGTAATTGGATCAGGGAGCTTTCATTTAGACTGGTGACTTATTTATTACAGATCCCTAGCCTGTAGGTATATTAAGTGCTCGGTACTTCACCAAATCCATCAGGGTCTTATTGACACAGTCTCTACATGAGAAGCCCAGAGTAGACCAGTGTTTATTTATCAGTGTCTGACAGACCCAATGGATTCTCACCAGCCTGATGCATACTGCTAGCTCTGACCTTTTTAATGTTGTTATCGTCCTATTGACGATGCCATTAGTGTCATATTTCTGTTTTTTTCTCCTTACAGCCCTTTTGTGACTTTATTCTCAAAGTCTTCTCCACATGACTGACTTTTCTTCACATCACTGACTTTATTATTTTTATATATTTATTTATGTCTTCTAGCCTTTAGCTCGAACTTCGGAACAAAATCAATACATACTTAAAATAAATCCACTGGAAATTGCATTTTGTATACAGGCCAGAATTGTCTAGTTGGAAACTGGTCAAGTCATTCACAAGTTATGTAAAATTGTGTATGTAAGCACACCAAACCCTATACTACAAATGCATTCCCTAAATCTATTATGCTATTAGATATGATTTATCATTAGTGACACTTCAACAGTTTGATTGAGTATTCCTGAACTCCTGACTACCGCGTGTCTTTCCTCTACATCCTGATTCACACTGTTTTATCTCTACCCATCACATACTAGCTGCAAGGCTAATACAGCTTGTTTAGCAAGAGCCTGACTTTAGTATTCTCCTCACACACCTGCAGCACAGAACATCCAGCACCATGGCCACGGCTGTGCCATTAACCTTCTTTTATAGAACACACTGGGCACGGTCGTATCCCCAGGAGTCAGGCCCTTCTTAAAGGCTGGCCTTGGCAGCGTAGGCAAGATCTACTGCTGACTTATGGCTTGGGTTGTCACCAGGAGAAGGAAGAGGTGGGATTGATTTCCAGAAATCCGCAGAATCCCAGGCTGGCCTATTGAGCGTGCTCATCCATCTCTCTGACATGATTGTTCCTCGCTTGTTACTTTATGTTCTAATCAATCAGCTATGAGTAAAATGGCAATTACAGCAGCCATCGATACGAGCAACAGAGAGCGCAAGAATTATAGGACGTAACATTACTGCAAATTGCCATTAGAGTTCCCCTCTTTCCGAGGGGGGAGATTGTAATGGATAATAATCGGAGGTATAATTCTTGATGAATTAGGCAGCATTTCACATTTAATTGCACCTAACAAACTTGGTACGCATGAGTGAGCACGCTGGACTCTGTAATGCCTCCCTCGTGAATAAGCCTTAAAGTGGTTTTTGGTTGTTTTAACAAAGATTATTATGATATTCTAAGGAACCCAATGGAATAATAACACTGCTTTGGTTTCATTGCCCTTTGTGGTATCCTGCAAATCCTCCATTTACAAGCTTCCATGTGATAGAGACGTAAGATCATGACCTTTAATTTTACAAATTTACATTTCTGACATTTTAATGGTACTTTTCGAACTAGACCTGGAGCTCTGGTTTTTAAGACATATAGACAGAGCCAAGTTAAAGATAACAACCTAGGAGTTTTGTGTTCCAGAGTGTTCCAGAGCAATGTAAATCAGACAGATGCCTTCAGAAAAGTGATCAGGTTGTGTGGGATGCTAATGTATGTTTATTAGCAATTAACATTTTTGTCTAATGTCAAATGCCAACAGATGGAGCTATAACTATGAGCCATTGAGTCTGATGTGCATTTGAATGCCAAGCTGAGGGGAGGGGGAGGCCAAATTGCTATCCAATAAAAAACAATAGTGTTTAGCATATATAATCACACAATTTTCCGGTAATCTTTTTTTGCATCTCTGATGGACATATTTACCACAGACATTGCCAGTTGCACCCAAAAGATACGTAAATCAGATTACTAGGATATTATATGCACTCTGTATTCTTCAGAGAGTTTTATGTACTTATTTTGATTATGAAAACAACTAGTGAACAGTTATGTTTCTGGGTAAGTCAATGACTAAGTAATTCCTGTTACATACAAATCACTCTATGGCCTGGCTTTTTGAGTGAGAGGATTCCGGCTAGAGTGTGATTTATTAAATGGCTTTTCTTCTGTGGGCTTGGGAAAGTAAACGGAGTGACAAAAACTAGATTAATCAAAGTAGAGAATACCGAAGATCCACAAATTAGCTTAGCAATCTACAGTGAACTCCTTGCTATGAAAGATCAGTCCAGGACCTGGAATAATTGTCTAAACTTTTCATATCATTCATATGACACTGATATAGTATTAGGTTTCTATTAGTTCTAAGGGGTTAAATTTATTCCTATAGAGATAAACTGCATGAATCCAGTGCTGATAATATTAGTGCAGAAAATATAAAGTGCTCTTACAGACGGAATTTGCTCCACTGAATACCTTCACTCCCCAGGACATTCCAGTTTAGCACATGAACCAAATGCATAAACAGTGCTTGAATAAGAAAACAGGTTAGCAATAGATATACTTTGAATAGAACCCAAGAGAGCATAATATTAATATTAAATACAACACTGATGTACTTTAGGTGCTCTGTTTTCCACAGAATGGCTGTTGTGGTAGTGTAGGAATGCTCAGGTCGCTTATTGTCCCCGGTGTCTGAGTGATGCTTGTTGCATGAGGCTCCTTTGCGGCTCCCTGTCCCACAATGTACATCTTCTTCTCCCAGGTGCTTCTCTTGGTGCTCTGGATTCAGGATTACACACCTGTGCTCTCCTGCAGGGCCTAAGCAGCCACTTTATCAAAATCAGCTGCTGGAATGTGGAGTAGATTCAGTGTGGAGTTTGGGGGAGGGGGTCTAGCCCCCTAAATAAGACCGTGAAACCCCTGAAAGAAAGTAAAGACAAAAGGTTTAAGGGTTCTTAAAATCATGCAAATGACATCATTTTAAAGCACTTTACTATAAGCTCCACAAAGAAGCATTATATTAATACTTAATTAATGCTTTCATAATGATGAATCCTTAGTGCATTTGGAAATAATGAAGCGTATACGTTAACAGGCAACTGAGTCATATATGAATAACTGTTATTTATGGTAATAGTTAAGTATTAAAATCTTGTTAAGACATTCTGTTTATTAATATCTTGCAGTATTTGTAGATGTAATTTACACTGTTGTTGTTGATGTTTTTTTACATGTAGGCTATTCAAAACTTTGGGCTATTGAAGTAACCTTTCACAATGCAAAGCCAACACCATTAACAAGTTTCTTCGAGATCACAGGAGCCAAATCAAACCTACGTATCAGTGTGATGTTATGAAAAAAGGTATGGTGATGATCTCCCAAGAGTTTAATCCATTCAAGCACACAGTAAGCAATGTGGCATACTGTGGCATATGACGATAAATGTATTAAAATTATGGTTATATTTACAATTATGTCACTTTGTCCAAATAGCTTTGAGCCCCTGAAAATGGAGGTACTTTGCTTAAAATGGCTGTAATTCCTAAATGGCCATATTTTTGTGGAACCTCTTAAAATAAAGCTGAAAGTCTACACTTCGATCACATCTTGATTGTTTTATTTCAAATCCATTGTGGTGGTGTATAAAGGCAAAATCACAAAAACTCTGTCATTGTCCAAATACTTCCAGACCTAACTGTATATAGTGTATTTCATTTTTATTTGTAATATATCTTCCAATTCTAAACTAAACCAGTCTACAAACCAATCACTATGCACCACACCATTTTTGGTACATTTATCTTTTTTTCTGAATGAAGAAGAGGGAGTGTCTTCGCTTAATTTTGATAGTAATATATTTACTATAATTCAGATATTCACCAGCTATTAATATGTTCTCATAACTACATTAGGCTATATATTTGAAGGAAGAATCAGTGAAGACTTTTCTTTTCCAGTGTAATTATATTTGGCTATATTTTTATCACTATTACTTCAACACACATGAATTTGATCACCGGGCAATGGTGCGGTACTTTCAATTCATAACATGAGCGGAAAGTCACTGAAATACACCCTGTAAAAAAAAATTACTGTAAATTTACAGTATTTATTTTCCAGCAAAATATTGTATTATTGTTTTATAGGATTGTACTGTAAATGTTTAGGCAGTTATAGCAGTGTATTGGTTTCAGTAAAATACAGAAAATGCAGTTCGTAGTGGGATAGCTTACATTTTTTTGTCAGGGGTGAAAATGGTAAAAATTCTCCTTGTGTTGAGCTGGAGTTTAATGTTATATGCTAGTAAAAACCTGACTAAGTACATGTTAGTCATGTTACATTTAAGGCATTTGGCAGACACCCTTATCCAGAGCGACTTACAATTATCTCATTTAAACAACTGAGCAGCTGATGGTTAAGGGCCTTACTCAAGGGCCCAGTAGTGGCAGCTTGGTGGTGCTGGGATTTGAACTCCCAACCTTCCCATCAGAAGTCCAACATCTTCAAGCTACCACTTCCCTCTTCTTGTGTTTGTTGCAGTGGCTCAGTGGTTAAGGCTTTGAATTGCAGATCAGAAGGTTGTATGTTCAAATCCCAGTGCTGCAATGTTTGGGTCCTTGAGCAAGACCTTTAACCCTATGCTCACTTGTATCTGCCTCAATTGTTGAGCACATGTACTGGATTATGTGTTATTTTATACTATGTATGAAATTACAGTACTTTACTGTAAATATGTTTTACAATTAGAGTGACTGTGAGCTGCATAGTGATTACAATATTTATTGTCTCAGCCAGCCAGCGGGAATAGTGCCAAAGAGAGTCAGAATTTTCTTTTTTTTTTTTTTTTTTAACAAATATCTCAGTCTTTCATCCTGTCACATTGTGATATGTGTGAACAATTTTTTTTTTTCATGTGCTGTTATGAAGTATTAAGAGGAGAGAGCATTAGCTAACAGAGAAGGAGGGATCAGAAAACATGCAGGTGTGTAGGAAATAAAGTTCCTCATTATAGTGCATTCATCAAGACAGTGTAATCAAACTGAAATGAGAAACAACAACTATGTGAAATGTGGCCCCTACATGTGATAGGGTGCAACTATCAGCTGATTTGGAGGTAAGCAGGAAAAAACTAAACACTAAAAGGCCTAGGCCTATATGAAGCTTCACATAAGACCACATTTGATTAATAATATGTATATGTATAGCTGATCCTGAATATAATATTTGTACTTTTCTAAGGTATATATAAGCTGGGCTAATATACATTACCATCGGGCTTCAATTCACTGAAACACCTGCCTGTGTTAGATAGAATCCCTGTACAAATAAAATAAAATAAAGCCACTCCCATCCTGAATGTCATTGTATAGTTCGCACTCTGAGTAGATTACCCACAGGAAAATACCACTGAATCTTAATTGACAATCAATTTCCTTGACTCCGATGTGAGTCTTGATAAGTGCCAGACTGTGTCACTCATGCTAAGGCATGGTTGCTCTGAGAGGAAAAAGATACTGGTACCTGATGTCCATGACATGCCGCACTTTTATAGAATTTTGTAATAACATTTAATGTCTGCAGATCTTATATCTGCTGACTCATGAAGATGTCAGTATGCTGACCAGTGCTTCATATATTATTGAAAGAGAGTGCTTTTGCAATTGGCTTAGCTATTGTGAAGCTAGTGCTTCTCGGTTGATGAGGCAAGCACTCTTAAGTGTTACTGCGTCTCTGATTATTACAGTCGCTGACTGATTGGTGTTTAACCTGTGGGTCAACCAGGATGGACCCTTTAGTGAAATTGGCTTCCCTCATAAGGCCCAGGCTTTCACTGAGATTTCTTCCATAAATGAATGATGCTCATGCATTTCCATAGAGTCATCATATTTTGTCATTGCTAGTTGGGCTCAGTTTTAACATTCAGAATTAAATAGAATATGCAGAACTATGAAAGAGTCATGATAGCCTATTGTTAATAATTCATACGCAATTTAGTGATGCCATTGTACAAAAATTTTGACCATGATCTTGATACCATATTAAGTAGCATGAAACTAGCACTGAAACCGTGCTGCGGTAATAAAAATTAGAAACACTTTACAATACTGTTTCAAAGGTAACTAAGAGGAAAGAATGAATAGGTCTTAATAGTGGGTAATTATTCAGTAATGAACGAAGCAATGATTGGAGTTGTTCACTATTAACCAAGCTGTAATTACGGGGTTATCAGTTTTACATTCCTGCAGAATGACAAGACAAGTCTTTTATAAATATCTACTGATTACTACTGATTCCCAGACTTCTGTACTCACCTGTTCTGAATCAGCACACTCACTACAAATAACCTGGGTTCGTGTTTCCCAAAAGCATAGCTACACAAGGTTCATTGTTGAATGGTCGAGCGAGCATCATGTTGAACAGCCTTGGACTCACACACACTTTGTGAAGTCTCACTCCTGCTGTTTCTGAGCCTTTCGAGGTTGTGTGTTGTAATCCCGGTCTCAGTTTTTGCATGTGCATGTACCATTAACAGTTCAACCTGTTTGCAGATCGCCTGTAACTCTGCCAAATTTACATTTCTGATTACAGGTTTACCCTTCTGGTTTGTCACCGGCACTTGGGTCCAACCCTGCTGCTGTCTGACACACTGGCTGTCTGGAAATTTGCAGTAAACCTAATTTTTGCAATAGTGGCAAAGTTACAATTTGCACTAAATATTACGGTTTTACACTACAAGAAAGCCCATAGTTCAAAGTTCTTGACTGAGAATTGTGATTAAAAAAACAATGGGTGATTTTAATTTACTAATAAACTCACTGGTAATGACCTGCATATTTACTATCATATTCAATGTGACAGATTACATTTCTTTAAAATTTATATAGAAGCATATTGTATAATTGTGAAATGGGATGTTGTTAACATGCTAACCATAAACAATTCAGCTTCAGTAACCACTTTATCGTGGTTACGGTGGATCCACAGCCTATCCCGAGAGCACTGGGTGAGAATACACTGATGGCACAGCACCATGCACACACCCATTCATTCATGTCAATCATTACCTATGCGCAATTTAGAGCAGACAATTTATTGATTTAACATATTTTTGGGAGGTGGGTGGAAACTGGAGAACTCAAAAGAAATCCATGCAGACACGAGGAGAACATGTGAAACTTGGCACAGACCGTAACCTGAGCTCAGGATTGATCCAGAGACCCTAGAGCTGTGAGGCAGCTTCAGATATCAATATATCTCATATTCCAGGAGGAATAATCACACAGTCTGATAGACTTTGAGATGTCTTTTGTGCATACAAAAATATTCACAATGCAGCCAATGGCTCTGATGCCATGCACAGGGGTGGGACACAAAAATATGTTTTAAACCATTAACTGTTCAAAAAGGTGATTGTTGCTCATCTCTTATTAATTTTGGGCTTTACTGGGGTTCTGCAGGCTGTATGTCCAGTTGTTATGGACAATCCAATTAAGACAACATGTAAATTAATGGCAACAACAGTAAAGTGTTATAGTGCAGATATTGTACATAGTGTTATTCACTAAAATAATGAATGAACCATGAGTGGTGAATAATATGGACACATTGTTAAAGGCTCCATTGCTGCAGTATACATTGAAAATTTAAGGAAAGCCATCCTTCATGCGTAGTATGACTGGATGCTTGCTTGTGGGTATGGGCCATGCATGGTGTGTTAAGCAGAAAGTTGGGGGATTTGAAGAAAGGGAGAACAAGATCCTTCGGTGAATGTTGTGAAACTCTGAAGTTCTCTTCATGTTTAACTCTTCCTCCTGGGATCTGTCCCCACCTCTTCTCCTCTTCAAAGACCAAATCACTACTCTATTTTTAGAAGAAAGGTTTTTTCCTTATTTTTCTTCCTCTTTTCCAACTCCCACTCTCCTGATACCCACAGGCCACAGTTAAACTCGTTGCTGACTTTCTCTCTTAACTTTACAAGGAAACGGTTTCTATGTATTTCAAGGCATCAAAGCATGTGTACCTCAAAAGTTGCCTGATGCCACAAGGAGTGCTCTGTATTCTACCTGAACATTCAGATCCAAGAGTAACGGTGCATCTGTGTTCATCAAAGGCCGCAGTTTTCACCACATCGTTTTGTTGTACATCTTAACTTATGTCACATAAGATTCTTTTTTGAACAGTTCTTCCTGATTGAATTGGATCTTAATAGACAGCATTTATTTGGGTGACTGTAGAGTTCTTAATAATCTTAACATTTTGGTAACACTTCTTATTACAGTCTCACAAGCTCTATGCTATTAACCGGGTTAGAGCGTGGTATAAATTCCAAAGTACTGGATAATTGTTTAGGGTAACAAGATGGTAATGTGCCAAGACAGTTTAACTAAAGTACACAATTTGTCTGAGACAGAGTCTATCTATTAAACAGGTAAATGTGGGGTACAAAGAGCAAGGTGAGAAGAGGGAACATATATTTCATTTCACTGGAATACTAAAATGTAGTAGTCCTTGTACTCTTTATAAAGAGTAATGAAAGCAGTAAGTAAAACATTTGCCTCCACACCATTATTCACTGAACTTGCTCAGTAAAGTTTTATGTTTTCATTAGTTACATTATATTGTCTACTGAGCTACACAGATAGCTGCTTTGAGAAACACAATCAGGCTTGCAAGTCATGTGGTAATGCAGGTTTTTTCAGAATGTGGAAAGCCTCTATATTATCAGTGGCCTAAATAATTTACAAGTTAAAAACTATTGTGTTTTGAAAATACCCAGGTTACCACAAGACTTGCAAGCCTGACTGTGTTTGCAGAGAAGAGGAGAAGTTTCCTGAGGCCAGTATGTCTCTTCATATGTTGTGAAAAGCACAAAATGTACACATGAAGTGTAAAATTATTTATTATTTATTACATAACAATCTTATTCAAATAGCATAGTGGTAGAGGCTAGCTTGGTTAAAATACATTGGTCCAGAACACCTCATACAGAGCATTTGAGTAAAAGTATTATTGTGCCAGAATGTTATTCAGTGTATAGAAGGTGCTGCAAATAAGTTGCATGCAAACCTTTTTGTTTTTCACACCATTCTGTGTAAACTGTAGAGTCAAATTCAAAGTCACTGAGATGATATTTTTCTCCATTCTGATGTTTGCTGTGAACATTAACTGACTCTCTTGACCTGTATCTGCATGATTTTACGCATTCTCCTGCTGCCACGTGATTGGCTTATTGGATAATTGCATGAATGAGCAGGTGTATGGGTGTTCCTAATAAGGTGGCAGATGATTGTACATAAGATATAATACTGTAAATCTATATATAATACCAAATTCTGTAAAATGAAATCAAGTTCTTTGGAGTTTATGCCACATATTAACCCAGATAATATGTTGCTGCAGCCAAGACTCCGGTCCAATTTTGTATATGAATATAAACAATTTGTCAGCTTATTGATATAGGTTATTCAATCAGTGTCTGAAAATCCTACTCATCTAAGGCATCTGTTGTTAGTTGGCATCTGTTCTGTAATGTTATGAATTATACCCTCTCCATACAAATATGAATGATACATGACAAATGCATTGAGACATAGTTTCAGAGAGAGGG